TACCAATAATTGTAAAATTAAATAACTTTTCTCCGCGTTAAATTCACGGGATAATCGGGATCCTTGGTTATGAAATAAAATAAATCAAAGACATTTTATTCGCTTTTTAATTGATTCTGATTTAAAAAACATACACTTGGTTTTTCATTAACAATTAAATATTCCATTTATTATTTCCAATCCGCTTCAGTATTATTATTACATTACTCAATAAAAAAAGTACTGATAAATTAAATGTTTTTGTAACGTGATAGGGTATAATAAAAGCATTTATTAGTTTTACTTCTCTCCTTGTGAATCATTTTGACAAAAATATTGTGTTCGGGATGGATATTTATCATCATATTTATGTGAAACAGATGCACAAAAAAAAAACCAGTACGTTACCACAAAACAAATATGTTTCGTTAAGTTCAATAACAGAAACAGTGTGAAAGTTTTCTACACGAGTCAAAGACGGGTGATACAATGGGCTTCTTTAGGATAGTTTTTTTTATTTCAAAACTTTATTTAACTATCCTTTTTTATTTGCAATCTGTAAGGTTACAATAGGCAAATGATTTATATCTATAACTAGACCTAAATATTAATAAAGTTTGAGTTCTGGATAACTACACACTACTCAGCACATACACAATAGCACTAAAATCTATCGGGCAAGTCACACGGAAGATGTACTCTCAGCCTTCTCTGGATGGGAGGTCTGATCAGCGGTTGTGCTAACTTCTGTGAGAAGAGAGATATTTGTTCTGTGACTGACTTTATTCGAAGGTTACTGGAAATAAAATTATTGGGAACATACCATGGCACATTTGCAAGGATTCTGAGTACTTTGGACTGAAATCTTTCCAGTATGTCTATATTTGAGTTGGATGCTGTACCCCACAGCTGGATTCCATAACTTCATATAGGCTTTAGTATGACTATTAGTAGAAGCTTTTGGTTAATAGTTAGTTGGGATCTACGTCCTATTATCCAATAGAGTTTATTAAGTTTTATGCCTAATTGTTTTCTCTTTGTAAATATATATGTTCTACACGTTAGTCTTTGGTCCAGGTGAATTCCTAGGTATTTTGAATTTTCTTTTTGTTGCAAAAGCTGTCCATTTAACGCCACAGTTGGTCATTTTTCTCTTCGTTGGGTATATGTAACATGGATTGATTTTGTTTCGTTCACCTTGATTCGCCAAGTTTTTAGCCACGCGGCAATAGCGTTCAGGTTGGTTTGCAGGATTTGGGAAGAAATAACAGGATCTTGATGAGATTCCAGGACACCAGTGTAATCTGCATGTGTTGCCGTAATTATATTGGTATTTGTGGGAATATCCGCTGTGTATATAAGGTAGAGAATCGGGCCACGTACACTTCCCTGTGGAACCCCTGACATTATTGGACGTAGAGTTGAGATTTGATCTTGAAATTTGACTTGGAAATGTCGGTCTTGCAGGTAGGATTTTAGGATGAGGAATAGGTTAATTGGAAGACTTTTCCTGATTTTGTAAAGTACTCCATCGTGCCAGACCTTGTCGAATGCCTGAGCGATATCTAAGAAAGCAGCAGAGCAGTATTCTTTGTCTTCAAAAGATTTGTATTTTTTTGGGCTTGTTCTATCGGCGCATGTTTCACTCTAAATCCAAATTGTTGGTTGGGTGTTAATCGGCTAGCCTTCAGGATTGGTTCTATTTTCTCTAACAGTATTTTTTCTAATAGTTTTGACATAGCGGGTAACGATTGGTGTATTTGTTACCTAAGTATAAAGGTATTTATTTTTCTACTATTTGAATGCTGTGATTAAAACAGGAGAGTTGTCAGAAGATAATTCAAGTCAAAATTGTGCGTCTAAGCATTCTTTTGGAATGCCCTTGTTAATACCAAAGTCGACAAGGGCAGGAGTTTTATTCCTGTCAGTCGGCCAATACGTTGGTAGTGTAGTTTGTATGTTGAGTTAGCCCGTTGGCGTTCCATATGGCTATTTTTATGTACTAGTCATTTTGTTAATTTGGACACGACAGTGGTGAGCAGGTTCCATGAGGCTTTTTAATTGAAAAAAAAAAAAAATAATGTTGAGGGTGGTTTCAGCTACCTCCGAAGGGCTATATTTTTCAAATTGCTTGCAAAATGTAGGTAAATATATTAAAACGTTGACGTGTCTCGGGAAATTTTAGAAAAATTATTCACCTTCCCGCTAATAAAGATACACGCCATATTATTGTGACACAATAACTTCTAACCAAACTTTTAACAAAAACATCATTGAATTTGACATATACGTATTTACTATTTTTAGTTTTTTTTTTTAATAATTGTTTGCAAGTCATAAAAAATAGTTTAATTGGTAACTAAACGAATGTATATTTGATGTATGTTATTCACTTACTTTAGGCATATAATATATTTATCAAAGTTAAAAATGATGTAATTTAGGTAAACAAAACGAATAAAACGTATTCAAAAAGTCTGCTGTCACTTTATTTGTCAGTGGAACCAAAATTACATCACTAATTTAGCGTATTATTATAATGGCCTTAACCGAAATATAGAATTTTGTAAATATTTTTAAATAACCTAGAAGGAGCCAGATTTTGTAACTTTGTCACATTTGGTCATAAAAAAACAAGAAAATATTATAATAGGACAATTTTAAAAGACTAGCGATAAAATAGTGGATATGATGACTATATTGCACGAAAACGAAGTTTAAGCACGACGCCGTATACTGAGTGCGATGCGGACAATCCACTCAAGTTGTACAGTATATTTTTTCTACGACCCACAAACGAAAATGTACAAATTTTATAAATTATTTTAGGTTATTAAAATAAAATAACTTAATTTAAAAATAATTTATGACTTTTACTAATTTATAAATTAAAATAAACTTTAAAAAAAAGATTTTTACTGTTCTACTCACAAACTGCAAAACGAAAAAGTGTGTCATTGCATGAATGCAGTTCGTTCAGTTGAAGCTGAACGAATATTATTTTATATCCGTTCTACCTAGTAAGAACACTGCACAAATATGAAATCCACCAATCACAGTTCAAATTTGGTTACCAGACAACTATTATTATTGTTCATTTTAAATAAGTGACAAGTCTGTCAAACTAAAAGTTCATTTTATTTTATAAATTAGTAAACGTCATAAATTATTTTTAAATTATTTATTTTATCTCAAGGGCATAAATCAAATTTTAAAATTTGTATATTTTCGTTAGTGGGTCGTAGAAAAAGTATACTATACAAATGCAGTACGTATCTCTTACAGCGTCGTGCTCATCAAACTCTTTTTGCATAAACTACTATTTTTTAAAGCTAAGCTATTTAACAAATATTGATCATATGTTTCAAGGACAAAACGAATACATAAAAAAAACTAAACGAAAATATATAAATAGCAACCTACAACATATAATAACAAAAAAATAAAATATCACTAAACAATAAAAATAAACTTCTATCTTATCTAATGCAAATTTAAGTGTAACCTTCAACATCTTTTGCACGTCACGATGCCGTACGATTCATATCTACATCGACGGTTCTAAAACACAACAAGGCTCAGGATGTGGAATATACTCCAGATTCTTAAACCTAAACATACTCGTAAAATGGGCTGTGAGCAATAGTGCTAGTGTAGTTCAAACAGAGTTCTCATTGCAGCAAAAGAAATAACCAGAAACAATATCACTGGAAGGAACATGCTCATCTATACAGATAGTAGACAAGCACTACTCACCCTGAACAGACCACGAATTTACTCAGGGTTAGTACCAGAATGTCACGAAACTTTGGCCGAAGTATCCATCAACAATGTGGTCACCTTAAGATGGTTCAAAGGTCACGCCTCCTCGAAAGGTCTTGCTGATTCACTAGCTAAGAAAGCAGCCAACCAAATACTTTTTGGACCTGGCCCTTTTATTGGCCTGACAAAATCGGTAGTACCAGACCTAATTAAAGAACATTCCCTTGTGAAATTCAAGGAAAGATGGGATATAACAAGAAACTGCAGAGTTGTCAGGGAGCTCCTGATAACACTGCAGCAAACAAATACTTGACTATGACTAGACAGAATATGCGCCTAGTCACAGGCATTCTGACTGGTCATTGCCAAGAACGGAAGCATCTCCATATCATGGGACTGTCAGAAACCGCACTCTACAGAGGGTGCGAACAAGAAGATGAGACCATCGAGCATATCCTTTACGATTGCTCGACGCTCTCATTTATTAGAATATTTGTGTTCGGCGAGTATCGGCTAACACCGGCTGATATAAGAGAAGCACCTCTTGACGACGTTGTCAACTACATTAAATCTGTAGGCTGGTTCAAGAGCTAGAAGGTGCCTATCATATTAGGAGGATGCACAATGGGCCTAATGATGCCTAAGTGTCGTGGGGGTAACCCACCCTCCACAGGTTACAGATACGTCACGATGCTATCCTAGAAAATAGAAAATTTGAAGGCTACTGATGATTTAGTCCCAAGGGACAATGAATGTTTACAAAATATGAGAACTATTCATAATACAAAAATAAAAATAAATGTTACAAATATGTTAGTTATTATTACAGGAAATGCAAGAATGCACATAATTTTCCCCAACTGTAAAATTAACTATAGTTTGAAATAATTTTTTATCATTTTCATAATACCACTTACCAGTGTTGAATTACCGAGTTGGTTCGTTTTTTTTTGCTTAGAATTAAGTTAATACGAGTTTCTAGTTCATTTTATTAAAAATATAGAACATTTTTCATTATTTACTTATTTTGCAACCGAAAGAAATATTCTCTTTAGAAAAACGAAGTAAATAACGGTGATTTCTCAGGTTATTAGTAAGAAATACAATTTTTTCTTCAAGAATCAAATAAAAAAAAATGGTCTAAAATGACTACTTTAATTTTGAGAAATTAAATCCGGTCTTATTCAAGGTAGAGAAATGAATTTTTTAAGCAATAATTGTTACACGAAAATAATAAAAATAACCTTTTTTTGTTTCAGAAAAGAAAAATGGTTTTGGATTCAACTTCAACGCAAGTTCTTAGAGATTTAGAAATATCATTACGTACAAATCATATAGAGTAAGTAAAACAAGTTTCCAATACTCTTTTAAATAGCTTTATTTAAATTAATCCATCCAATTATAATTCTTCTTCCACATCTTATTCTTTTATTTCTTGTCTTTTTAAGTAAAGGGGCTATGTTCATTCTGGGCCATTCCTTATGTAAATTAACATGGGAAATCGCTAAGGTCCATTCTGGCAATTTTTATCGCTTTTAAGGTCACGCGTCGAGGATCTTATCAGTAACTAACTTGTCAAGCCACCAGTGGGGGAGTGGGGGGAATTAAATTTATATTAAGGCCGAACGGAAAAATTATGCGATTGCCAGAAGGGCCTAAGCGTGTTTCTCGGTTATTATTGGTCCGATTCAAACGGGAAAAACGGCATTATGTAGAGAACGCGGTATAGATGTACGTTGAAGAGAAAAATTATGCGCAGTAGCAATGCCAAAAGAGATTAATAGAGATTTAATTCTCCCCACTCCCCCACTGGTCGCCCGACAAGTTTTTTTACTGATAAGATCCTCGACGCGTGACCTTGAAAGCGACAAAAATTCCCAGAATGAACCTTAGCTATTTCCCATGTTAATTTACATAAGGAATGGCCCAAAATGAACATAGCCCCTTTACTTTTTTATTCTTCCACATCTTATTCTTCCGACTCTTATTCTCCCATGTCTTATTCTTCACCTTCTTCTTTACCTTCTTCTTTATCTTCTTCTTTCTCACTTCCTCCTTATGCTCCACAGGAACATCGAAATTTGGTTGCTTAGATTTGATTAATCCATATCGTCAACTCATTCCCAGCTCCATTCAATGTTCAGTGTTTTCCCTCCAATTCCTTCGAAATTGTTTTTGTTCTTCAATAATGTATTTAAAAATGATAAAATATCGCCCATTTTTGTTACACTGCAAGGATCCATCTAGGACCTTTTATATTTCGTTATGTATGACCTTACACTTAACAAATCGTTAACTTTTATCATTTTCAGATGGGTTAGGGAGTTTTTAAACGAAGAAAACCTCGGTCTCGACGTACTAATAGACTACCTCAGCTTCCGTTTGGGAATGATGAGACACGAACAAAGGATAGCGGAATCTCGAACGTCTTCGGAAGAAAAATTAGGTAGCAGCGCAGATAGGACTCTAAACAATACGACAATCAACTTGGACAAGAGCAACGGTTATATTAGGGCTCCGTTGGACATGCAGGACAGTCCGAGCCTTAAAAGGAGATCGAAACACGTCGCCAAGTTGAACATGGGACACTCCAAAGATGATATTCACGTTTGTATAATGTGTATGAGAGCTATTATGAACAATAAGGTTAGTTTTTCATTTCAATAAGTTTTCAATTTAATGTAATCACTTATTTTTTTATTAGTATGGATTCAATATGGTCATCCAGCATCGCGAAGCCATCAACTGCATATCATTAAGTTTAATTCACAAAAGTCTACGTACTAAAGCCCTAGTTTTAGAACTTTTAGCCGCCATATGTCTAGTCAAGGGTGGACACGAAATAATATTATCCGCCTTCGATAATTTCAAAGAAGTTTGCCACGAAGTCCACCGTTTCCAAACTCTCATGGAGTACTTTCTCAATTTTGAAGTTTTCCATATCGAATTCATGGTAAGTAAACAACAAAGGTTCTTTGACTCGATTTGTAATATTTGGTGTTCCACAAGCATCACTTGCGGGTCCTCTTACTATGGTAATGTATGCATTATATTTTGGTTGTAGGTAGCGTGTATGCAATTTGTAAATATAATTGTGCATTCCGTCGAAGATATGAACTTTAGGGTGCATCTTCAATACGAGTTTACGGCTTTAGGACTCGATAATTATTTAGAAAAGTTAAGGTTTACGGAAAGCGAAGACCTGCACGTTCAAATATCCGCGTACCTGGATAACGTGTTTGACGTAGCGGCGTTGATGGAAGACAGCGAGACTAAAACGGCGGCGCTAGAGAAGGTTTCAGAACTCGAAGACGAAGTTGCGCAGGTATATTAATTAATTTATAAATATTATGTTTATTTCTTTTTTAATAATAATTTTGTAGATGCACGAGCGGTTGCAAGACGTCGAACATAGCGCATTAGAAAAGATTGCTAGTCTAGAAACGGAACTAATACAAGTCCGACAAGAAAAAGACGAATTGGTCGAAGTTAAGAAAAAGGCCGACGAAGAAGTATCGACGTTGAGACGAGTCGTACAAGAATCGAAAAATAGGCAGTCGATGTTCGAATCTAAGATGGCCGAATTGGAACATATGAGTAGCATGCCGAGGGGATCATCGAGTAAGAAATTCACATACACATATTACACATACAGGGTATTTCATTAATACTAATCTATAGAGTTACCAGAGAATCTTTTATTCAAAATTTATCAGATTAACATCTTCAGATAGACCATAACTAGAGCTGGTCGTTTATCATAATAAATAAACGAATATCGATTATTCGAAATAATCGAATATTTTCGATTAATCGTAAATAACCTATTAATCGAAAATATTCGATAAATCGAAAATAATCGATTAAAAGTAATCGATTAATTGAAAGTAACGGTTAATCAAAAATAACGATTAATCGAAAATAATGAATAATCGAAAATAACAATTAATCGAAAATAATCGATTAATCTAAAACAATCAATTAATGGAACATAATAAATTAATAGATTAATAGAAAATAAGCGATTAATCGAAAATAATCGATAAATCGAAATAATTGATTATTTCAAATAATCGAAAGTAATCGATTAATCATAAATAACGATTTATCGAAAATAACCTATGAATCGGAAATAATTGGTTACTCAAAAATAATCGATGGCCGAATTGGAACATTTAAGTAGTATACCTAGAGGATCACCGATTAAGAAATTCACATATACATATTACACATACAGGGTATTTCATTAATACTAATCCAAAATGAATGATCTAAAATAACCAATTAATGGAAAATAATCGATTAATCTTAAAATAATCAATAACCCAAAAATAATGGATTAATCGAAAATAATCGATTACCTCGATTAATCGAAAGTAATCGATTAATCATAACGATTATTCAAAAATAACGATTTATCGAAAATAAACTATGAATCGGAAATAATCGATTAATCGAAAGTAATCGATTAACCAAAAATAATCGATTAATCGTAAATAATATATTAATCGAAAATGTTCGATTATTTCGAATAATCGCATAGTCGAAAATAATAGAATTATCGATTAATCAAATATAAGGATTCATGGAAAATAATGGATTAATTGGAAGTAATCGATTGGCCGGAAATAACCGATTATTCGATAATCGATTAATCGAAAATAATGTATTAATCGAAAATAATCGATTGATAGAAAATAACGGCTAATCGAAAATAACGATTAATCAAAAATAACGATTATTCGAAAATAACGAGATCTTGAAAACAATGATTAATTGAAAATCGATTAATCAAAAATAATCGATTAATAGGAAATAATTGATGAATCGGAAATACTTGATTAACCGAAAATAATAGATTATTTCGAATAATCGCATGATCGAAAATAATCGATTAATAAAAAAGAAACGAAAATAATCGAATAATAGAAAATAATCGAAAATTAACGCCTAATCGAAAACGATTAATTGAAAATAATTTATGAATCGGAAATAAACTGTTAACAGAAAATAACCGATTAATCGAAAATACTAAATTAATCGAAAATATATATTAATCGAAAATAATCGATTGATAGAAAATAACGGCTATTCGAAAATAACGATTAATCCAAAATAACGATTATTAGAAAATAACGAGATCTCAATAAACAACGATTAATCGAAAATAATCGATTAATAAGAAATAATCGATTAATCGGAAATAATTGATGAATCGGAAATACGTGATTAACCGAAAATATTAGATTATTTCGAATAATCGCATAATCGATTAATAAAAAATAATCGAAAATTAACGCTTAATCGAACATAATTTATTATCGAAAATAAACGGTTAACAGAAAATAACCGATTATTCGATAATCGATTAATCGAAAATAATCGATTGATAGAAAATAACGATAAATCCAAAATAACGATTATTCGAAAATAACGAGATCTCAAAAACAACGATTAATCGAAAAAAATCGATTAATAAAAAATAATCGATTAATCGGAAATAATTGATGAATTGGAAATACGTGATTAACCGAAAATAATAGATTATTTCGAATAATCGCATAATCGAAAATAATCGATTAATAAAAAATAATCGAAAATTAACGATTAATCGAAAATATTATATTAAGTTGTGTAAAACGTTATGCAGCTGTTATAGAAACTTCTAAGTTTATTATAAACCGTTGTTCTATGAGTTGTGAAAATATTTATGCAACAGTTTTATACAGACGTTCTTCTCTTAAGATAAATTTGTTATTTAAATAGCTTTATTCGATAACTATATGTATAACTATTCACTTTTGTAAGGTATTTATTTTGCTAATAGGGATATGGTGTGTCTGAAGATGAAATAATAATACAATCTTTGAAACCGGTCGCATTAAAAATAACACACTTCATTAATAATAACTCTAAAACAACTGATTAATTTCCTTTCCAATTTTTTATAGTGTCAGGCATTGCCGATTTAGCCAAACAACCCATAGAAAACCCCATAGTACCCGTTCCACCACCGTGTCCTCCTCCATGTCCTCCCGTCGCACCGGCAGCGCCACCGCCGCCTCCTTGCCCGCCCCCGCCTCCTCTGCGACCGTCCGGAAACATTCCGCCGCCTCCGGCTGGATTCATGCAGGCTCCGGACGGAGCAATGACGATTAAACGAAAAGTACAAACCAAGTACAAGCTGCCGACCGTCAATTGGATAGCTCTGAAGCCTAATCAAGTCAGAGGAACGATATTTAACGAGTTGGACGATGATAGGTTGCACGGGTGCATAGATTTTAACGATTTTGAGGAAAGGTAAGTGTCTAATTCAAATATTAAAACTATTCGTCTACGAATTATAAAACGTAAGCCGGTTCTGTCGCTCACCAAGAATTTAATCTTCGTCACTTCTAATCACTTTTTGAAATGACAAGGTCAATATAGAGCATGAATTAAAAACATCGACCATACTATCTTTTATCTCTCTATTAACACGATGTTTCTCACTTACGCGGTGCAATCGAAGTAGTTTAGATGGTTACAAAATCTAGCCAATAAGATTTAACATTCAAGCGTTTTTATAACTGTCGTCGCGAAGTCTATAAATAGTTTTCACTCTAATTGGGGCCTTTTATCTTCTTGGAACATTATTTTGCCGACGAACTTTTGGAAAATAAACCTTGCTCGACTCTCGTTTGAACGGTGACTGAGCCAACATCACCAGCTGGATACCTGCTGGTTTTTAGACGGGATGGAGATGGTCTCGTGACTCGGCTCCTACCTGAGTGATTCCACTAGTCTTGTTTATATACGATGCCATAATCATTACTCAATCTTCATTCTAACAATACCTGTATCACTTTTTCAGTGCTGTAAGCTGACATTTCACATTTTAAGTGCTACTTACATTTCAAGAATGTTATGTAACACGGTTAATCAATGTTTCAAAGTAAAAGTGAATAAAAGTTGTTATTATTGTATTTTAAACCAGCGGTATTTTTATTTTCCTTTGATTTTGTATAGGGAAATGAAAAACTCATAATTAGTCAATCCCACAAGAATTTAAATATCCTTTATCTACAATATACAGGGTAATATCAAACAGATTAAACAGAGTTTTACGCTGTTAAAATGTGTTACTTTATAGTGGGACACCTGGTATTGTATAAATTGTGAATTCACATAAATATATCAAGAAAGCTGTGTAAAGCCGAAAGCGCCTGCCTAATTACACACTAGTGTACTCATCTCATTCTCTTCACCACATGTTTAGTATATACCCAATTCCTAATTTTTCATTTATATATTTGTTTAACAGATTCAAAATTGGAAGTACAAATCTAATGTCGAACGGGGTCAACGAAACGGATGGACTTCAAACTTTCCCTAGCAAACGAGGAAAGAAACCTGAGAATGTCACTTTGTTAGAACACACTAGGTTGAGAAATATAGGTAAGATAATCACACCACTCATTAAATATTAATCTTAAAAATGTATTGAATATATTTTTCTGCGTGTAACTGTAAACAATCAACGGGTTTTTTTTCTCTCAGCTATATCTAGGCGGAAACTAGAAATGACGCCCGACAAAGTCATAAACGCAATCAATATGTTAGACTTGAAACAACTGTCTCTAGAAAACGTCGAACTTCTCCAGAGAATGGTGCCCACCGAACAGGAAACCAAAGCTTACCGAGAATACGTCAACGAGAAGAAGAACGTCAATCTTTTAACGGAAGAAGACAAGTTCCTGTTGCAATTGACGAAAGTGGAAAGAATATCGGCCAAATTGGCGATCATGAGCTATATCGGCAATTTCTTCGATAACATTCATCTCGTCACGCCTGTAAGTAATTTAGAAAAGGGCTATAAATTATATTTTACCTTCATAGCATCATACACTGTCAACTGTCATACCTCTCAACATTATTGTGAGTTGTCGTACTTGTCACCGTTACTGTCAGCTGTCATACATATCAACGTGTAGTATTGCTTTGTAAATGAAACACCGTCTTTAACTATAGGTGTAATCAACATAGAACAACAAATCTTTAAGAAGAGGATAGAAGAAAGCTCCGTGGGTTTTTCTTCTCGGTCGTCCTCTCCCTTGTTGTCAGTCACGTCACCTCACTGTCCTCCTTGTCAGGTCAGCTCTTGTCAGACGGTTGTGGCTACTGGCACTTCGTCCGAAATAATACCACAAACGTCATTTTTAGCTGTCATACTTGTCTTTTACCTTCATAACACCATACCTAATAATTCCAGTGTCAACTGTCATACTTGCCAACATTATTGTGACTGATCGTACTTGTCACCGTAATTGTCAGCTGTCATACATGTCAACGTCATTTTTAACTGTCATACTTGTCAATATTATCGAAACTGTATTGATTTCTAGTTAACATTGGCTGGTTGTTTAGATAATTAAAATCAGAGAAACGAACAGTACTTTTGGTATCAGAGGACGAAGGATATTAGGTTAGAAAATGTTTGGCAATTACCTTTTCTAATATCGTAAAAGTTCACAAATACATTCCTTATGACTTTTTGAGAAATCAACATCCGTTTGCTTCTTTAATAAGCTGAGAATGTGTCAATACGTCCTAGTAATGCACCAATTTTTTAGAATGATAAACAATGATAGACTATAAAAAGAACCAAAGTACGTGTTGTCCGTTTGTCTATCGGTTACGAAACATTGAAATTTTGTTGACGCCTAAATTTTTCTTAAGGAAAGTGGTTTTCTGATAATTTTCCAGCAGTACCAATTTTTTGACAGTTGATTTAACCCGGAAAATTAGCGGAAAACCACTTTCCCCAAAAAAATTTATGAATTGTCCTACATCGTTCGAGAGAGAAAATTCAATATTTCATAACTGACAGATGGACAACATGTCAAATCAGCCTAAAATAATCCGACCCTAAAATAACCAGCTTCTAAAATTCAGCCCCTAAAATAATCAGTTCCTAAAATAATCCACCCGTAAAATATCAGCCCTAAAATAATCCTTAACCCATATAATTAGGCATTGGGAACTATATTTCCACTTAAAATATAAGACATATAATCCCCACATAAGATTTTTCTGTCAGGCTCAGCAAAAATTGTTCCATAACATATTTGTTTTTAAGCAAACATATAAATATTACTCTTACATTTTATTTGTAATTATTTTACTGAAATACATTGTTTATACATTTTACTTTCTTCTACCTACTTCAGGTGATGATGATTATTACCAGCCTCTAGTAATGGGCCCCTTATTTTTATTTTCAGCAAGTACACGCAATAATATCGGGGTCCAATTCTGTGAAAAGTTCGAAAAAATTGAGATCCGTCTTAGAAATAATCCTAGCCTTCGGTAACTACTTGAACAGTAGTAAGAGGGGACCTGCGTACGGATTTAAACTCCAATCTTTGGACACCCTTTTGGATACGAAATCCACCGATAAGAGATTGTGCCTTTTACATTACATCGTTGCCACGATTAGGCAGAAATTCCCAGAACTGATTAATTTCGATACGGAGCTTCACTACATAGAGAAAGCAGCTGTAGGTAAGTTGATAAACGAATGTTTATAAAGTATTGTAACTATTGTTTTTAAGTTGTATGATTGACGATAGTTAATATAAGCTGTTGTGCCACTAGATCGCGTTACTGAGACTAGAAGTTCAAATGACATTGACACTTTAAGATTGGCGCAGATTAGTAACAACTTTGGGGGTTCGGGATTATGATAAAAAAACGTCAGCAAGCCAATTTTTTTTGTACAACTTTAATTTATAATTGTTTTATTACACTTTTTTTATAAAAATGAGTGATTAATGGTTTTTGGAACAGTGTGTGAGATGATATATACTCAGATAAACAAATGAATAATAGATAAGTAACGGTCTGGATGTGTTTGAAGCTAATATGAACCGTTTTATCTATTACTTTCTCTTTCTTCTTGGTCTTTGATGTGATTCGTCTATTTTAAATAGCAGCGCCATTTACTCACAACTGTCAACAAGCATTTGGGAACTGTCAGTTTTGTTTGCACATTTTGTGTGATTTTATATTCCCAGGGCATATTTTTAAAGTTTTTTGAGTGTCTAAAATGTTTATTTAACGAATTTTGTTAGTTGTAAGTCTAAAAATTATTATTCAATGTTTGTTTGCCCTGAAACAAATTTGGAGAAGTTCCACGTCGTTTCAAAGGTAAGTAAATAAAACACATGGGCGGTACACCTATATTGTAAAATATTATTAGTATTTTTTTAGGCAGGCTTCCTACAAACTGAAGCAATGGAAATTTGTATTCAAATCCTAGAACTAGAGAAGGTTAAATTGGAAATATAAAATATATTGGAAACATTTTATAATATGTTGTTATGAATTCTGCTGGAAAAGACGAATTTAAAGCTGGAAGCAATTCCTATTTTATTCACTTCTCAACTTGGTCCGTCTTCAAGTAAGTTATAATAATATTATGTAATACATTACCTAGTACAAATTATTCATACATTATAAACTTGGAGATTAAATTTAAAAAATAAATGCTATATTGTATTCTCCTAGACAAAGTAAAATAAATCTTAGTGCTTTCTGGAAAGAAAACATTTTATGAAAATATAAACTACTCCAAAGAGTTTCTTGTATCTTAGTAATGAAATGAATTATACTTATAGAATGATTATGTTGTAAATATTTTATAATTCTTTTTAGGGAAAATTTACTTCCTAGTGAATGTAGTGAAAGACAGAGTCTAGAAGTGATTTATAATATGCACATACTGGATCAGAAAATTTAAGTTGTTCCACCGACATTGCTCCAGAAGCTATAGAATAGGTTATTCAATTTTTAAAGAAGACATCTATAAAAATGCCCAAATTCAGAGACAAAAGGTTATGCTAAAAATAATACATATAAAAATGCCCGTTTTTAAAAAAATATTTGTCACATATTATTTTGGAGATTATTAAAATATCTAAAATTCCAAAAACTTTAAAAAAACATGTTAAAAGTTTATAAATGAGAAGTGTGTTAATCTAGAACAAGTCAAAGGGGGTTATTTTCTAACTTTCAGCTGAAAAAACGAAAGCGAAAGACTTCTCAACAAAGTTCGATCACCAAAACGACAATCATGTGATTATGGTATTCTCTAATGCTAGACGATTTTGATATTCGTATGTGATTTTAATTTTTGTTGTAATCTGTCATAATAATTATAAATCGTAAATGCTGATTTGTCTAAATATCTAAGGTTAGTATTTGAATGTCATTTTGACATTATTATAATTATAAACTCAATTAGAATATATTAAGGCCAATTTCGAATTGTAAGGAATCAAAAACAATAAACATCATACATTTGCTGACATTTTAATATTCAAGTCATAATATTTAGATATATATTTTAATGTTTGACTTATCTACTTCCGAAAATAAACTTTTTTGAATGCGCTTTACTTTTTTCAAATAGGAACAGCACAACAAGTAGAGAATACCAAAACGTTTGTGCTTTACACGTTTGCTAGTTGTTGCGTTTATGGAGGGAGCTGAGTGCTTTCAAAAATGGTTAGACAATAAGCCCCCGTTTTAACTCAGCGAAGTAGAAGAAGGTTTCAATCTAGAATATCTGTCAATATTCGCTTCTAACATTTATTTAAGAGACCAAAAATTACATGAGTGAAAATGCATCAGAAGCAGTTGAGGTACCTATGTATCTAGTATTAAAATAAAAATAATTCAATTTGGTGACATACATTTAAATATAATATGTAGCCCATGCACAACTTCGGTTCCTATGGGATTTCCATTATATTTCTTTGAAAATAGACACTCCACTAACCTATTTTATCCTTTTTTTTTATTTATAATTACCACATTTGATACTTTTATATTGTATTTTTTTTATTAATTTTATATTGAATTTTTATAATTTATTTCTTGTATTGTTTTTTAATTTGCGTTAATTGTATGTTAATACATTTTTGGATGAAGCTTAATTGAGTCTTATATATAAAACATTTTTATCACACACAAGTTGTACATAGACAAAATTTAATTTATGTGATTTATTAGATGTATACAGGAGGTTTTTCAGAAATTATACATACCATGTAGGAATAAACTAGCTAGATACTGGCGTCAAATATCTGGAATTATTAATAATTGCTCTCGTGAAAAATGAATGCATGATACGGATTTTATATTCTTACATAAGTTGTTAAATGGATGTAATATTACTTACCAGAAGTTACTTGCCCTCGGCCGTAAATTTCTGATTCGGCCGTAAAAGATCAACTCGATACTTACAGCCTTTGGTACACAAATATCTATTTTAATTCTATAAATGTCATTAAAAATTTATGAAAAATGTATTTCTCATCTATAAAATTGTTATTTATGATAAAGAAATATGTTAGTTTATAAGAACAAAAATAAAACCTGAATCGATACCAAATCAGTGAAAATGTTGCTAGAGTTGGGGACGCTTTTATACAAAATTGTAATGTTACTATTTTACTAATAAAGCTACAGGTAATTTATCTTAGCATTTTATTTAAATATAAATATATTATCCGAATAAAATTAATGACGTTAGTCAAGGTTTAAAGGCCTCGTCACTTTTTTATGCTTCTAGTTTATATGTTTGTGAAAGAGATCTATTGTTAATTAACAGTCTCCATTAGATCTTTCTTGGAACAAGATTACAGACTATAAAGGTAAGTTTCAACAAATTTATAGATTGGTGTCTATCCATTATAAATTACTTTCAAAGCATATACAGGGTGTTATTGAAATACACGTACATATTAAAATGGGGAATAGTATGTAATGACCAAAAACGATTGGCACCAATTTTAACTTCAAATTCTAAAATTTAAATATTGGGGAAGAGTCCCCTTTTCCGACCTACTAGTTTCCATATTTAAAGAAGTAAAATAAATCGAAATTGAACTTACCCATAGAAATTGCACTGTTGCCGTAGCAAAACCAATTAATTCAAAATAAAGTTTATTACAGTAATTGTTCAAAATGCCGTCCATTATTATTTACACACACTTGCAATCGTCTTTCCAAAGAACTTTGAACATTAGAAATTAGTCTTGGATTTTGTCGTAGTTCCTCGGCTACCGCATTAACTTTATTGGTTAATTGTTCAACACTATTAATAGGTTCATTATAAACCAGTTGTTTCATGTGACCCCACAAAAATAAATCGCATGGATTTAAGTCCGGAGATCTCGGAGGCCACTTAGTAGGTCCATTTCTGCCTATCCACTTTTGAGGAAATCTAATGTTCAAAAACTGCCGTACGTTTAAATCAAAGTGAGGAGGAGCGCCATCTAGTAGGTACCACATCCGTTGCCTTAATTGAAACGGTATCTCTTCTAGGAGTACTGGCAAAATATCTTCTAAAAAGTGGAGATATCCTGGCCCATTTAATCTGTTCGGGAGAACATAAGGCCCGATTAAATACTGATCTATTTTGCCAGCCCAAACATTTATTGAAAATTTTCTTTGATGCCCAGTTTCCCTAATGGCGTGAGGATTTTCATCACTCCAAATATGCGTATTGTGCATATTGAACACGCCATCACGAGTGAATGAAGCCTCGTCAGTATACAATAATATTTTTAGAAAATCAGGAATATCAACACATTTTTGAATCATCCATTCACAAAACTCCACTCTCTTTTCTTCATCACCTGGATATAAGGCCTGGACTTTTTGGATGTGATAAGGATGTAAACCTTGTTCTTTAAGTGTCCGCCACACAACAAATGAGGACACTCCAATTTCAAGACCTAGTCTTCTACAACTTAATTGAGGCCGGTTTTCAACAGCTTCCAATATTTCTTCTTCGGCCGCCAATGTTCTTTGTGTTCTTGTTCTCCCTCGATCTGCATTGACACTCTCAAATTTTCCATGGTCTCTTAGATGCTGAACAGTTGAAATAAACGTACGACAGTCCGGAATTCTCCGATTTGGAAACCGTTCGCGATACAGGATTTGTGCTTGCCGAGAATTTTCTCCAGCTGCCCCATAAACCAGCACTATATCCGTTAGTTCAATATTCGTAAATAGTGGCATCGTAAAAAAATATTTAAAAGTAATCGTAACAACACTTTTTACCAACTTGGAAATGACGCGCTCGTGTTAGCCAGATTCGTAAATCAACTAAAATTTTAATAATCTATAGTTTCAAAAATGTATAGTTTAAAAACAATCATTTATCAAATATTCTAGTTTTTTGATAACGAGGGTAGTAAAAACCAGTCTTCGGAAATAGAAATTAATTCGAAAATCTTGGCAACATGGTTATTTCTTACAAGACTAGTTTTCTTATCATCTGACAAAAACTTGCATATTAATTACTGTTCATAGGTAAATAAACCTAATTTATATAGGTCATCCTCAACATATCAGTGAAGTACGTTTGTTTTAGAATTAATTTTCAAAAATTAATAACTCCCTTAATAAGGGGTATTTTTAAAAAATAATATTTTTCTACATTCAGTGGGGATCTGCGCAATACCCAGTTTTAATATGTACGTGTATTTCAATAACACCCTGTATTTGTTTATTCTTAAGAAATGATAAAATCTATTACATATCATTTTTTTTATATTCTTAAAAATAAGTAACTGCCTTAATTCCTATTTTTTGACATCCCTCGTATATGCTAAAAAAATTTAAATTTATCACTTCAAGTGGTAAGAATGCTACCTTTAGGTATATAAGGGAAAAGTAAATTGGATTTTTTTTATTGTTGAGTTTCAGAAATATTAATTTCTCCTGGTTTTAAAATAAGATGAAATTATTAAAACGGACCTGCAAAGGCACTTTGTGCACCAATCTCACCAGTACTCCTGTGACCTAATGGGTAAATTCAGTTTGGCTTACTTTTTTCAAAAGGGATTGTTGTTCCATTTTAAATATACAGTTTACTGATATCTACCTATAAACAATATTAACAGTGTAATTATTTGAATTATAAGTATCATTTATTACATTTGAATAAAAAATAGAATTTAATTTTTGTAAAATGAAATTTTATGCATGAGTTGCATTGTTCTTTAAATTTGTTATTGACAAAATATTTACAAAAGAATGCTTTGGGTTCTGATGAAAAAACTATTTGATACGCCCATGGGGACCACGGCTGTCAAAAGTTCGTAGATACTGGCTTCAAACAAAGTCTATGTAAAATTGCGCCCGTAACACATCTATATTTCATTTGTTTATCTGAGGATATATATTATTCAATATCTTGTTAGAATGTGGATCGAATTGTCAACTTCTTTAATAAAGTAAACAGAGACAATACTGGAAAATGGCTGCTTACTAAACGACAAAACGAATTCTACTTTTTACAAACAACTTCGTCGAAACTTACTAACTACTAAAAATGACACTTGACATTGACAAATGAGAAACAGGTGACAATCAATATTACCAACTATAACAGTCTTATAAACATTTTAAGCATTGGATTATATTTATAACATATCTAACTATCTTTTTACAATTTTAAACAGATAGTGCTTGTATATATTAATTTATATGTGAACAACGAATCAGGTCATTGTCTCATCGATGTTGTCGCTTCGAAATAATTTCATTAGCGATAGATCGCTTCACAGTTTTCTCTTTTTATTACAGTTTCTCTAGAAAACATCAACACGGACGTAACGGAATTAGAAAAGGGCATGGAAGCCGTTCGAAAGGAAGCGGAAATACGCGGTAGGGGAAGTCACAGTTTGGTCGTTCGAGATTTCCTGGCGAACGCCGAAGATAAACTTAGAAGACTGAAGGGCGACGCTAAGGTGGCGCAAGAGGCGTTTAGGGAATGCGTGGAATATTTCGCCGAATCGCCGAGAACGACGGACGCTAATACTTTCTTTTCGCTGTTGGTGCGATTCGTTAAAGCTTTTAAGGTAAGAATAATAGTACTATAATTTGATCTATATAATAGTTCAATATAATAGTTATATATAATAGTTCTATATAATAGTTCTATATAATAGTTCTATATAATAGTTCTATATAATAGTTCTATATAATAGTTCTATATAATAGTTCTATATAATAGTTCTATATAATAGTTCTATATAACAGTTTTACATAATAGTTCTATATAATAGTTCTATAAGGCTAATGACCTTATCAGTCGATGCCGATGACACCAAATAAAAAAAATAGTTCTATATAATGGTTCTATATATTAGTTATATATAATAGTTATATATAATAGTTCAATATAATAGTTCTATATAATAATTCTATATCATAGTTCTATATATTGGTTCTATACAATAGTTCTATATAATAGTTTTATATAATAGTTCTATACAATAGTTTCATATCATAGTTCTGTAAAATAGTTCTATACAATAGTTCTATATTATAGTTCTATACAATAGGTCTATATAATAGTTCTATTTAATAGTTCGATACAATAGTTCTATACAATAGTTCTATATACTAGTTCTATACCATAGTTCTATACAATAGCTCTATATAATAGTTCTATACAATAGTTCTAAATAATAGTGATATACAATAGTTCTATATAATAATTCTTAAATTTACATATATATTTCGCGTTTGTAGGGACATATGTGCCAGCAAAGTTCAAAAATTGCTAACAGTTTGAAAACTTACTAAAAATGCATAGTTTTATTCAATTTATAATAAACAAAGGTTGAGAAGACAGGTGTATAAATTTGCTAGTATTTATCGAGTTTCCAAGTGTTTTAATTTTATTATTGATTAAAAAGTTCTCAAAGTAAAAAAAGCGTAAATAAATAAAAATAAATAAAAGTAAATAAAAAAAAATTAAACGAATTATATCATATTTAAACAAAATAAGTAAAACCAAATTAAATCAAAACAAATTAAAACAATTTAATACAAATTAACACAAATTAACACAAATTAAAACAAATTAAAACAAATTAAAACAAATTAAAACAAATTAAAACAAATTAAAACAAATTAAAACAAATTAAAACAAATTAAAACAAATTAAAACAAATTAAAACAAATTAAAACAAATTAAAACAAATTAAAACAAATTAAAACAAATTAAAACAAATTAAAACAAATTAAAACAAATTAAAACAAATTAAAACAAATTAAAACAAATTAAAACAAATTAAAACAAATTAAAACAAATTAAAACAAATTACCAATTAAAACTGATTAAAACGAATTAAAACAAAAATAAACAAATTAAAACGAATTAAAACAAAAATAAACAAATTAGAACGAATTAAAACAAAAATAAACAAATTAAAACGAATTAAAACAAAAATAAACGAATTAAAACGATTTAAAACGATTTAAAACGACTTAAAACGAATTAAAATAAATAAAAAAAAAAATTTAAAGACAAGTTGAAACAAATTAAAATAAAGTAAATTAATAAAAATCATTAAAAATCATAAAAAATCATAAAAATTCATAAATATTCATATTCATAAAAATAAATAAAAATTCATAAAAATTCATAAAAATTCATAAAAACTCTAAAACTCTAAAAAAACTTTAAAAAAAATAAATAGAAGTAAATAAAAATAAAACAAATTCATCTAAGAAGTTTCACTTCTATCATGCGTTCAATAAAACTTAAAAAATAAATAAAAAAATAAATAAAAACTAAAATAAATAAAAATTAATAAACAATTATAAAAATTAATAAAAATTTATAAAAATTTATAAAAATTTATAAAAATTTATAAAAATTTATAAAAATTTATAAAAATTTATAAAAATTTATAAAAATTTATAAAAATTTATAAAAATTTATAAAAATTTATAAAAATTTATAAAAATTTATAAAAATTTATAAAAATTTATAAAAATTTATAAAAATTCATAAATATTCATAAAAATAAATAAAAATAAATAAAAAATAAATAAATAAAAATTAATAAAAAAATAATAAAAATTAATAAAAATTAATAAAAATTAATAAAAATTAATAAAAATTAATAAAAATTAATAAAAATTAATAAAAATTAATAAAAATTAATAAAAATTAATAAAAATTAATAAAAATTAATAAAAATTAATAAAAATTAATAAAAATTAATAAAAATTAATATAAATTAATAAAAATTAATAAAAATTAATAAAAATTAATAAAAATTAATAAAAATTAATAAAAATTAATAAAAATTAATAAAAATTAATAAAAATTAATAAAAATTAATAAAAATTAATAAAAATTAATAAAAATTAATAAAAATTAATAAAAATTAATAAAAATTAATAAAAATTAATAAAAATTAATAAAAATTAATAAAAATTAATAAAAATTAATAAAAATTAATAAAAATTAATAAAAATTAATAAAAATTAATAAAAATTAATAAAAATTAATAAAAATTAATAAAAATTAATAAAAATTTATAAAAATTGAAAGGTAATAATTTGCAGCAGCCTAAACATCCTAACGTCATCACTCACTCAACTTCTCCGATGTAATATTGATAGATTTTTTTTTCCTTAGACCTCTGATCAAGAAAATGAACAAAGAAGGAGGTTGGAACTCGCTGCGCTAAATGCAAATAATAAAACTAACGAAGATGTTCAAAAACGAAATAAAATAAATCAGAAAAAGCAGCAGGTATGTTTTGCAGCTTAATGCGTTTTTATTTTCTTAGTGTTTCAGTTTTTTTTTATTATTATTATATTTTAAGGTTGGGTTTTTATTATTTTATTTTTGGTGCTTGCTTTAGTTTAGTATTTTGTTTGCATTTTTTTTTATTTTAGCTTCTATTAAATAGCAAAAAAAGAAATATTGCTTTAATATGCTGTAGTTATTTCTAAAATAATTTATTTTAATTTTGAAAATATGCATTTATTTTCAAAAAATTGTTCAAATTGTTATAATTAAAAGTAGTCGTCAGGAGTATTTTTATCCTTTGTTTTAAAGCATTTTGAAACAGTTATTCTTAAGATCATACAATTTAATAACTAAAAATTTTATGATTATTGATCATTAGTGTTGCTTAAAAAGCTATTTTTAATTAGGGCATTTTAGTTATGAATTATTACTAACCCAAACAAAATTTTGTAATTGAAGTACAGTATTTAATGATAGCTATCGATTAAATAACCAAATATGTTGTATTTTAAATCTCTATGCATCAGCTTCACTGCTGCTATCTAATAATGCCCCAAATCGGATGGGCTTTACTCTTTATTTAATTTTTTAATATTTTTTTTTGGACAAAATTTATATTTTTACAAAAATAATATATTTACTAACAAATCAAAAGTAACCATATTTTTTTTTTAAATATAACTTGTTAAAATTGCACTTGATTTATTAAATACCGCCAAATAGCTATTATTAAATATTGAACGTTTAATTACTTGATTAACATCAAATTGACTAACTTAACACTAACCGCATTATCTTCCTAACATTATAATTAATTACCGAGTCGATTAACCGAAACGTACTGTGACTAAATTTGTGTATTTTTGGCATGAAAATAGTCTTGTTGTCGAACAATCAAACTATCTTTTGTTATTTTCATATTTTTTCAGCCGCCAAAATTGCCAAACTTTTTGGCAAAGATACTCGAAGATTAATGTATCGCTTAGCGTCGAGTATTTAGAAAAAAATAATATGCCATCTCTTATCACAGTATAACTCTCGAAACTGTCCAAAATTAACACACTGTTTATCATGCTTCGGTTAAACTTCATCTCTTCGATTGCGCTTCGAGATTTTCGGGTGAAAATGTATGCAGAAAAATATGTATGTAAATGCATACCAATTTACCTATATTCCAATTTACGTATATTCTAATTTATGTTTATTCCAATTTACGTATATTTCAATTGTAATACCACATAGATTTTTGTAATTATTTATTATTTTATTTACTTATTACTGAAAATGGGTACTTGCTTATAGTTGTCAATCCTAGTTGAACTTTGTCGAGTTTAGAGCGGTTTTAGACTACCAATGATTTACTTATCCTAATAAAAAGTTGGTCGCCATAGCTTTACTGTAATATGCGTGGATTTTGAACTATTCTATTGAATATTTTATCTCTAGATTCTTTTCTTAATCTGGCTAGGATATGTTCAATGTTAGTATAATAAAAGGCCTTTTAAAACTATAAAATGTTTAATTAAACATTGACTGAAGAGAAATTTAACAAAAAAAAAGATAATTGAAATAAAAAAAAACTATATTAACATGAACTTTCTAACGCATAACATTTACTGAAACATCAAATTGACTATAATACGCAAACACAACTTTAAAAAAAATACTATATATTTTAGATGGGACTTAAAACAAGTGCTTCCACGCTTGGAAGTGATTATTTATATCCATAATAAGTAATTTAAATACTTTTCTAACATTCGGAGAGTCATGTAATACAAACAAAAGCGTTAGTTAATACTGCAATTGTAACTTACCCCTATACCAGGGTGGTGACTTGTCTCTGAAGGTTTCTAAATATGCAGATAATTCCAGAAGATCGAAAAACAGGATAGCGGACAAGCCTCGACAAAGTTACGAAGTGCTCTTTAGTACTTCCTGGCCTTTTTTCTTTCTAATTCAACCTACATTGAACAATGTGGCTTAACTGCGGTATCAGCAAACTAAATACATTGCCAAGTTTCAAGCAAAACATTGTATCAGCAATTTCATGAAGTCTTTTAAAGATAGTTTTAGCAAATATACTTAAGGCGGGAGTCTAAAAGACACCAAATCACAACTGAGAACCGTTACATATCTTGGAAACCAACCTCGTTCAATTACTGTTTAATAAAGTATTTTACTCAAAACTATTTTCTCTAAATACTACCGGTTTCCGCTAACGAAAGTCAGGTCAAAGCTGAGAGTGGGATATAAACCATCGATGCCAAGTTGTATTAAATTTCCGACATTATGTTTACATTTTTTGTATAAATAGAAGTAGGTATAATTAGCAGGAAATTTTAAAAATAATAAAAATCTTTCAGAATTAAGGGTAAATAGTTCAAAAAACGAACACCTACAATTTCAAATACAATAATAATAAAGGGATTGTTTAGAGAATACTACATTTGTTTTTATAAATAGGTAATTTTTTATTGGAAAGTTTTGTGAAGACTGACTTTGTTACGGTATGTTCCGTTTCGTGTTATTTTTAAAACATACGATCTACAAAAATTCAATAAAGTATTCAGTGCGATACAAGCAAACCACTCGAATTGTATAGTAGTGTATAGTATACGAGTGAATTTCTACGAATCAATAAAGAAAATCTACAACGTCATAAAACGTTATTAACATAAAATTACTATTTTAAAAATAATTACCTAACACAAAGATTATTTCTGGATTGTACCAAATTATAAAATAAACTTGAAAAAAAAATTCAACCCGAATTTGAACCTCGGACCTTTCGTACGAAATCTCAACCCTCAAACCTTCCTTTAACCGGATAATCGGACCGGATATCCGGAGCAGTTGACCTGATAATCGGACCGGTTAACCGAATATCCAGACCGGTTATAATAATGTAAAAATCTGGTTAAAACCGAAACCGGTCAAAATCAGTCGGACCGGTTAACCGTTTATCACGTCAGGAATTGACAGTCTTAATTGTTGGTGCCATTTGACTTACACCATCTTCGCAACGATAACGCATGGTTATTTTAATAATCTGGATATCATATCAACATAAATTTCTGCTAATACGACATTCATCAAATCCTATAGAGAACCATGCAAATAAATTCACATGGTCTTCTGTAGGATTTAAAGCTGCCTCTGAACCACGAAATTGCTTGCAAATAAATACGAGCGCGTTAGACACCTACGCCATCGATCCGACACACAATATAGAATAGATAAACGTTTTATTCGTTTAATAGACTGATATGTAGTTACATATTCATTCTGTAGATTCTGTAAAAAATAAGTATGAATACATTTTTTTCTATACTCACATGAGTATTAGCTTATCTACGCAAAAGATTACAGATCGAAGAAGTATGCCATTGCGTTTAACTTAAAGAATATATTTCATATCCATTTTACCTAGTATGAACACTGCAAAAAAATTAAATCCACCAATCACAGTTCATATTTTGGCCACTCGGCTACTATTATTTTTTTAAATTTTATATGAGTGACAATTCTGTCAAACTAATTGTCAGTATATTTTTTAGTTATTAAATATACGTAAACATGAGTTATTCTTGTGTAGAATCGATAAATAATAGCATTTCTTTTGTCTACATTAACATTTAAATTTTAATCGAACTATATAAAAATAATTTAATTAAAAGTATTAAAACTAAAATCGTAAGTGTGGCGATGAGGTGAGGACACAGCGTCTTCCAAGCGAGAGGTTTGGGTTCAAATCTCAGCTGGGGATTAACTAAATTAAATCTTTTTTTTTTCATGTTTATTTTATTTCATAAATTAGTTAAAGTCATAAATTATTTTAAAATTAGTTATTTTGTCTTAAAAACCTAAAATAGTTTTTTTAAATTTGTAGATTTTTGTTAGTAAGTCGTAAAAAAATATACTGTACACTTCGAGTGGATTGTCCATATGAACTCTTGTTGCACATACCACTAAACTCGTTCTACTTTGGCTTTCGCATAGTTATTATACAGTCTCGCAAACAAATGCATCTAGCGAATGTGATTTGTGGATAAGGCGTTGACTTTTCAAATAAGAAGTCGTGTGGATTCAGCTCTCGGTGTAATAATTTTTTATATTTTATTCTAGTTTTTCTAAGTTTTATATTCATATTTGTCTGATGTTCACAATGTGTCTTGTATTCACATTTGTCAATGAATTGTAAAAGAAAAAAATACCTATGTACCTGTTAGATTAAATCTGTGTTACGCTGAAACCTTTTTCTAAAAAATTTCATTTAGTTTGTCTGAACATAAAAAAAAATTGTTAAAATTATCGTAACTTTGCTAATCTTTTTAACTAAATCAAATTTGGGCGTCGTTAATATACAATATACATGCATTTGTTGCTCGATCAAACGTTCGTTTGGGCATGTATCCGGATTAAATGTTCATTATGGTATGGTATGGTATCTGTCCTCATTTCGTTTGCTCGAGTCGCCCACTCCTTTTATGTTACCTCTACGATTCCTCTAGTCGGCAAACGCCAGGGAGTTAATTTTTGAAACCATTCGCTAAAAGTAGTATGCGTCAATTGGCATATGACATTTATCGCATGCGTCAAGGAAAGTATATTTTTGAATTCTGTTCGATAAATATTTTGCGAACAGATCAACCTAACGAAGAGTTGTAGATTATTTCAGCAAAATTCGATGATCTACCAATAGAAACCTAGTATGAAACTGCTTTACAGAGATGAATGAACGTCATGTCATTGCAAAACCTATTAAATGCCTATTCGCAAGTGACGTCAATTTCGCATGCGAAAACGAATCGAGTAAGACAAAAATACAGTTTAGGTAAAAGTATACGTTTTCGCATACGTCAGGGTGGCGAATGATTTAAAAATTAACCCCCAGCGAACCCTCGTTGGTATTCGCTAAACCGTCTATGCCGCGCCAACTAAATCCCTTTGTTGACATTCGTTGACATGGTTTTTACGCAGCTTAATAAGGATTTAGGCATTCAAAACAAAAGAACTTGTTGGTGGTATATTTAGAAAGTTGCGACATACGATGTATTCTATCTACAATACGTAAAATCATGAATAAGGTATTAAATTTAAATATTTTATATTGAACACAATTCAAATATTATTAAAAAAAGTATTTTTCATACGGTGACATTGTTGGCGACTACTATTTCGAGTAAAAATAGCGTCCAAGATGAAAGAAAGACTATTTCGAAACCCCCATTAGATAAGAGTCCTGCTCACTAGCAGCTATTGTTTGAATCGTAAGTAAATTCTTCTTTTAAAGCCATTTATGCAGTGTGTTATCTATTTCACGAAACTATGACGTCAGTAATATTTTTTTAAATGGAACAATTGGTATTTTATAATAATAAAATTAGTCCCTTTAAATGCAAATCCTAATTAATAATAATTGTAATTTTTCTCGAACAATTTTTAGGAAAATTATACCAAATGACTTTACAGCTCCATTTATTTTAATTACAGGTACTCTTGAATAGGTATAGATTTCGTCTTCCGTTTGGCTTTAAATGATCAAAACTATATTCCGAATAGAATGTTTTAAATCGCCATGGAAACAAGTCGGCTGGCTCTATAAACGAATACATGAACTAAAATCATCGATAAAGAAGGTAGACAATGGTATTACCGCGTATATTATTTGAAATTTTGGCTTGTATTTTATTTCTCATTTTTCTTCGTCATTACATCAATTAGAGAATTGATTTGAACGTAATTGTAATTGGTTTTTAATAGACTATTTGCTTGTCTCCGCAAAAAAATTATATATTTGTTTTTATAATTGTTTAAACTTTTATTTTATTTTTTTTTAAAGTTGCATCATTGATATTAGCGTCAGCAACTGCTCTGATTTATTTAAAAAATGTCTACCAAATCTTGAGTCTTCATCTTTTATAGCTTTCAAATTCATTTAGAAATAAAATTAAATGCAATTAAACTGCCACCTTAAGATTTCCGCTATCCTTACGTTAAACTCAGATTGTGACATTTTTTATAAACATTGAAAGGGGTAGATTACAGTATATCGACAAGGTGTCCTACTCATGCATGGCATTACTTCAAAAGGACCGTTGTATTGGGACAGAAAACTACTGTTTTATCCACAGACTGTGGTTTTATCTACTAAAATTTTAAAATACCGATTCATTTTCTTTGCTTAATGAGGCCTGTGCACCTGGTGGAATTCAATTTCCTTTTCTTGCGTCTATGTTTGAGAGGAATCTCACAACTACTTTCCTCAAAGTGGATAGGGCAACTTCAATTAAGTTTGTCCTTTCTTCGATAAAAATTTACCCACAAGGGTAAACTCGTAGCGTAACAAAAACGAGAAATGATTTAACTTTGAACGAAAGGCCTAAAGCCGATAGTAGTATTAGGACGTTGAATTTTTTGTTTTGTGAAGCGTTGTCATTACTTAGGTTTAACCATGTGATGATTTTCACAAGCCTTGATTTTTAAAACCATTCTATATCGCCTTTTGATTAGGGTTTAAAAACTTGTTCGAGCAATATATCCAATAATAATTGGCTCCTTTACCTCTTAAGCCTGCTCATGTAAAATATTTAAGCTCCTTACCTTACTTCGCCTATTTATATTCTATTAATAAAGGACAGAAGAATGAGTATTGCAACTATGTTAAAAGAAATAAATTGGCTTTCTGTTCAGAATTATGTTCAGTACATGACTGATATTTATTTATAAAATAAAAATGACATAGTACCATCGCATCAGATCTATTAGAAAAAATTCAATATAATTCGCAGTATCACAACTATAATACAAGAAGCCAATTTGACTTTCATGTACGGCAAGCCAGCCATCAATAAAAGTTCCCAAAATATAATTTTTATTAAAAGTTTAAAAATTTAATAGACTGCCTACAGAAATTAAAAAAAAACAACAATAAATGTATTCAAAAGTAACCTCAAACAATACTTGATAAATAAACAAAACGGATATACTTTCTTGTGATAATACTCTTTATTAAACCTGTCCTTTTTAAGTATTTCCGTTAATTTATTGTTATTTTACCCCTCGTTTTACTACTTACTACGTTTAAATTATTAATAGTTTTGAGACGATAAGTTATTGCAACTTAAAGCCTCAAAACTATTTTTGTGTTAAAGTAGATCCATAGAGAGCAATGACAACTTTATAATTAAAATGAAAAACACAACAAAATACCTCGGTATCATAATTGATTAAAATTTGAAATGGGTTGATCACATTACGCCATTAAAATCCCAAGGTAAGAAGATTTATTTTGAAATTTTATGAATTGAGGAAATTTATGACTAGGAGTTTACTAATTATTATTTACAATTCGCTGGTTGAATATGTAAACCAGCATTATATCCTACCTCTCTTTTATATAATAAAAAAGTGCTTTATTATATTATCTGTCTTGCTGTACCTTTATTTATGGAAAGCGTTAATTGAGATACACTACAAATTATTTGCAATAAATATCAAAAGTAGCATACATTTTTAAATAATTTGACATTTAAGAGCCATTCACACATCACAGTTGACATCTTGATACTTGACAGGCACAGCCAAGCATTATTCTAATTTTTGCCAAATAAAATGGTCGGTTAATTATTCTATGTTGCGACAGAGAGCCAGTAAATTTGATGAAGGTGTTTTTGTGGCTAGGGGCGAAATAGTAGTACGCTTAAGTTAGCACCACCATAAAAAAGTAATTTTTAAGAAACTGCTTATATATTTTTCATAAATTGGCAGGCTTGGCGACTAATTTCAAATAAAAATAGCCTCCAAAATGGCTATACTTGCAAATATGAAGGTCGCAACCCGCCTTAGAAATTTCAACTTCACCTCAACAGCTGTTGTTTGACAGGTCGTTAGAGAATGTTTGCAATTTATGAAATGTAAAGGATGTTAGAAATGTTGCCGTTAGAAATAATTGAAATTCCTAAAATTGTAACATAAGAAATGCATAAGCGGATTTTAAGAATATTGATATTAAAGTAGTTAGGATGAACCGAAAATTCTGAAAATCAATAGAGTTCTAAGTTAGAAGTAATTATTCAAGAAAATTCAAGTCAATCAGAACTTTCGTTCTAGAGTTATTGTGACGGCATACATACACACAGACGACCAGACGATTTTTTTTTTTACATTTTCGGACTCGGAATGATCGGAAACGTGAAAAAGAGTTTTAAAAAATGGGAGTAAGAAATTTTTTTCGTTTGCACGAACTGAGGCCTCATAGGAAGGGCCTCAGTAATATAGTCACTACTAACAGAAATACAAATAAATTATTAAATTATTTTATACTATTCAATCGAAAAGTGTCAAAATAACTTGAAAGTTCGTCCCGCATTACGTCATTGCGCGGTTTGGAATTTTGTATCGAAAGTCAGCATACCATTAGTATGTGTATCGTGGCTCCATCCCCTTTCTGGTACAAATACGTACCTACGATATTTTGACAGTTAAACTATTGATTAATTATCAACCTTAAACGAAATGGATATTAGGATCGATATTTCAGTTAAATAGAACGCGCAGATGATCCATAATAACATATGGTATATATATGTACCAGCACCCGTTAAAGGAATAATTCATTGATAACTATAAATCCGAAAATCTCGATAATTAAATCGAAAAGATGAAGTACGACCATTGCGCTTTCTAGCAAACCACAACACAAAACTAATTCTCTTTAGTCGCCACTGTAAATTGCACAAAATTTCACACAAACAAAAATTATTTCCACCGAAAAAAAAAAATCTTACAAGCTAAAAATTGTACAGGAGGCTGTGATAAATGAATTAAAGACAAAAACAAGGATGGTACAGGAGAAGAAGCTGCTGCAACAGGACGAGGTGTACAACGGAGCCTTGGAGGACATCCTGCTGGGATTGAAGAGCGAACCATACAGACGAGCTGACGCCGTCAGACGAAGCCAGAGACGAAGGATAGACAATAATAGGTTATCGAAAACTATGGAGGAGTTGGAAGTGTAGATATTTTTGGTTTTTTCTTTTATAGATTTAGGTTAAGGTTGATTCGGTTCATCACTTGAATTTTTTTTTAGTTTGTTTAAAAATTAATACAATGCATATACAGGGTGATTCTGAATTACATATCCAAAATAATACTGTAGAGAGATCTTTAAAATGTTTGTTGTTATATGAAATAGAATTTTTAGGGCTTTGATAAAACTATTTTTTTATTTAACAAAAAGTATTGAAACGATTTGTATCAAATTTTGAATGCATCACCGGTCTAAATTGTCACAAATCAGTTTTACATTTTTTTAATCGTAACTTTTTTTCAGTGTAACACTGTCGAATGTTTTTCATTAATCTTCAATTAATCGAAATGAGCGATTAATCGAAATAATATATTAATCGACATAATCTATTAATTAAAATAATCGTTTATTTGAAATAATCTATTTATCAAAATAATCAATTAATCGAGAATAATCGATTATTTGTATATATTCAATTAATTAACCAAAAAAAGCTCGAAACAACGAAAAACATTGATTTCTACTTCCAAATAAAAAAATAAAAAAAAAGAAGAAATTGACGATGTCAAATTTTGGATTAGATATACAGGACCGTACAACAGTTCAAATAATTTCCTTGAAATATCAATCAGATTTAAAGATTATTATTTGTCAAGATAATCGATTAAAAAATCAACTTTTTGCCTAAGCGATTTTTTTGGATGTCGATTAATCGAATGATAAAAATACAAATTTCGATTAATCAACAATAACTGAATAATCGAAAAAATCGTGTAATCGAAAATAATCGAATGATCAATTATTTGTATATAATCGAGTAATCAAAAATAATCGAATAATCGATTAGTCGAAAATAATCGATGACTAGAAAATAATCGATTATTCGAATAATCGATTATTTGAATAATCGATTAGTCGTCCATGATTGAGTGGTAATAATTAAATATTATTATTTGTCAAGATAATCGATTAGGCACTGTTTAAAAAATCAACCTTTCGCCTAAGCGATATTTTTGGATGTCGATTAATCGAATGATAAAATTCAAATTTCGATTATCCGATTAATCAACAATAATAATCGAAAATAATCGTGTAATCGAAAATAATCGAATGATCAATTATTTGTAAATAATCAAGTAATCGAAAATAATCGATTAAGCGAAGAATCGAATAGTCGTACATAATTGTTTAATCGATTTTACGAAAACAATCGATTAGTGGTAATTAATAAAAATTATTATTTGTCAAGATAATCGATCAGACAACTATTTAAAAAAAATCAACCTTTTGCCTAAGTGATTTTTTTGGATGTCGATTAATCGAAAATAAACGATTATTCGAATAATCGATAGTCGAAAATAATCGATTAATCGAATAATTGATTAATCGAAAATAAACGATTATTCGAATAATCGATAGTCGAAAATAATTGATTATTCGAATAATTGATTCATCGATTAATCGAAAATAATTAATATATTAATCGAAAATAATCGATTAATCGAAAATAATTGAATAATCTATTAATTGAAAATTGATTAATCGTAAAAAATTAATTAGTCGAATAATCCATTAACCCAAAAAAATAATCGAAAATTATCGATTGTTTTAAAAGAATTGATTAATCTGTTAATCGATAACAATCGATTAATCGAAAACAATTGATTAATCGAAAATAATTGATTGATCAAAATTAATCGATTAATCGAAAATAATGGATTAAACGAAAATAATCGATTATCGATTTAAAAAAAATGACGAATCGAGTAATAATCGATAAATCGACGATTCGAAATGTAATGTTAAGAAGTCTTGAATAAAGCCCATTTATTTGATCATGATTATGCTTAAATGAGAGAAAGTACTCAAAATGACGTTAATGATCACCTAGGACTAAAAGTACCGGCCCTAAGAATATTGAAAAAATTTAATAATCTTACACTCAGAAAAGAGTTACTATTAAAAAACAGTTTTGGTATGTGTGTAATATAAAAAACTGATAATGTTGGAACAAGTTGGACCTACGTTCATACAAAATTTGATACTAATCAATTCAGTAGTATTCAAAAAATTAAAATAGTTTTTTAAGGGGCCACCTTTACAGCCTCATTCAGAAAAATATGGTTATATTTATTTTCAAAAATTATTGCGATAAAGTTATTTAGAATCACTTTGTAGAAAAATATATTCCATGAAGCACATATTTAAAATATTGTTAAGATTTAGAAACGCCATATACATTTATAGTATTTTACTTAAAAACTTATACTAAAATTATTTAAGTGATGGACTGTAATTGTTACGATCATTGATAGTAGACAAAGAAAATAATAATTTGCTGCTGTCTCGTTAAAAAAAGCTTTAATTAAAATATCAAAATAATTTTCCATTTTTATATGGGGTGTTGCATAATGATGTTACAATATTTTATCAGGGTGTTATACCATCCATTTTAGAGGGAGTTTTCATATAAAATTCTGCAATTTGTTATTTGTTGAATTTAATTGTGTTTAACTTAGGCGCAACTGTATAAAATTTACCTAAAACAAGGACAACGATTGGGATGACGAGTAAGTTTTACATACATCAATAGATATACAGTATGTGCCATAAAATTGGTTCTATATGGAATTTTTTGAACATTAGTTTGCCGACGAAATAAGCGTTGGCCGTCTCTCTTATGAACCGTATGAACAGTGACAGCTACATCGGCTGCCGGATACCTGCTGTTTTTTTTTTTTTGACGGGGTATAGAAGAACTCGTTGTCAGCTTCTGCTCAAGTGATTCTACTTGTCTTGTTTATAAACGATGGCACTAATACACGAGCCATTTTACTTGTAAAAGTTTCCATACCGTGAGTAGTATATTGGACGCCTTATACAGGGTGGTTCATTAGTGTATGACAGTCCAATATCTCGGTTGTTTTTGAAATTACAAGAAAATGTCAAATACAAAAGTTTTACAGTTCACAGAAGCGCTTATTGCAAAAATGTTTTCCAATATACAGGGTGTCCCTAAAAAGCAAGGCAAAAACTGGATATTTTATTTTATTTATGAATTCTACTAAAATATCTATTTTTGTCTAAAACGCCATAATAATATGTTTAAATTCAATTGTTTTCTAGCTGTGAACAAGTTGTAGCACCCATACGGTTGAAATTAGAGCAAAACGGTTTACATGTCTCTGTCTTAGTTTTTTTATACTTCATACAAATATGCAAGCAAAATAATCCACTTTCGGTTTAGTTAGATTTTTATATTTAATTAATCCAAAAGTTCGCATATCTGGATAGGATATGAAAAACTAAGATAAGGACATGTAAACTGCTTTACTCTAATTTATATATAAATCGTTTATTTAGTCAAAAAAACTATTTTTTACATGTCAATACATCTTCACATTTAAAATATAAAAAATATAGAATCAACATACATATTTAAAATACAATAAAAAATACATAAGATACAGTAGATGTCAACTATTCAAAACATAATAAAAGAACAAGAAAGAGAAGAAAAAAAAAACGTCAATTGGTCAACAAGTACTCACGCAGTTCACTTCCGATTCTGACACCGTGGTATCAACACTGAAATGGCGGCGTCAGAATCGGCAGTCAGGTGTGAATGTCTCCGTCAAAATCCTTAACAAGAACAGTCATCGTGAAGTGAATATTGTCTGATGTGATCAGTTATTAAGTAGCAAGAAGAGTGCGTCAAAATTTTTTGAATCTGAAAATTACAAATTGTCACATGGTGTGATGTGCATCCTGTGACGAAAATTCCTTTAAAATATCCACCTTTAATACAGAAAACTCCAATACAATTACCTTAGGCCGAATAGCCCTGGCATCTGAGGCCTATTAAAATTGAATTGAAGAAGAAGTACTCACGCAGTTTTATTTTAAATATTGCCGCGTTTGAAGAACATTTAATATCTTCAGGCAAATTATTAAAAGTCTGTACACCTTTAAAAAACACTGAATTTTGTGTACATTTTTTCGTTTCCATAAAAACTCTTAAAACATTTTTTATTACGTGTATTGTGTTTATGAACATCCTGATTATAACTTAAAATATTTTGTAAATATACTGGAGAGATTCCTGATTTAATTTTAAATATAAAAAGCAGGGAATAGAATAGAAAATATTTTTTAACAGGCAACCTCTGAAGCACTTTCAACATGGAATTGATCGGTTCCAATCTCGAACAGCTTAGTATTATCCTCATACCTCTATTTTGCAACTTTTGCAATCTTTGCAACTCATTCTGGTTGAGCAAATACAATATAGTGGCACAATAATTAAAATGAGGTATTATTAGAGTATTATAAATTATTATTTTAGCCACTTTGCTGAGATGTGGAGAACAGCGCCTCAAATAGTTTATTTTAAAAGATGTATCAACCATAATCCCTAGATATTTAAATTTTTACACTCTCTGAAACTTTATTCCATCAACAGAAACACATTGCGATGCTACATTTATTTTTTTTTTTTTAATTTCCAGTACCTCCAATTAACATCCACTTTGTCTTTTCGTAATTTATTTTCAAACGAGTTTCCGTTACAATAATCATATATTTTACTTATAGAACTATTAATTTCTTTAAAACAAGTTTCAGTGTTTCATGGGTAAAATATATCAGTGTATCATCTGCAAATAAGTGTATTGAGCATCTTTCGACTACACCAGCATTGTCATTAATATAAATTAAAAACTGTAGCGGACCTAGAACACTACCCTGTGGCACCCCCATATTATTCTCTATAGTATCTGAAACACAATTACTTATTATAGAGCATTCAATATAAAAACCGATACACGTCATCAATCAGTTGTGAAGTCATACCCTTGCAGTGTTGCCCAATCTTCAAAATAGTCTAAGAATGTAGGAGTTTTTAAAACTATGAGGTTATGTTTTTTTGCCATATTATTAGGAACAATTAATTTTAAATGTATAATGAATTCTATATAAAAGCTAATGAAGGTCATTGATAATGTTTAAATTGAAGTTTTAGAAAAACACTGAATTTAATAGTAATACATTTTGCACAAGAGGTTTAAAATGACAAAAAAAGGTTAGGTTAAGGATGAAAAAACAAACAAATTTTATTTAGGCTTGATTTAATTTACAATAAAAAATAATTATGTTCAGTTAGTTTATAAACATCCATATTTAAAAGAAGTAACAATAATTAGAACAGTTAGGTAATAAAATTAACAACACATGACATTTTAAAACTTAAAAATAATATTTAATCTAAAATCAGTCAGAATAATCAGAACTAAAATCAGAATCATCTCTATTTGGTGTTATAATAATGGGAGCAATTTCCAATCGGTCCAGTATATGCTCTCTTTCACGCCATCTAAAAATATCTTTTTCAGTGTGTCTTACACTGTTTGCCCACATTTGTGGGGCAATGGTTCGGAGTGCTTCAGACCACATGTCTATACAATCTCTTTGTGTCTTTCCATCCCGACCAATGTGCCTGTTATAATATTGTTTTGAAATACCCCAAATAGGTTCTATTGGATTAAAAATACAATGGTAAGGAGGAAGACGTAACACCTTATGTCCATACTGTTCAGCCAGCATATCAGCTATATATATTTTTGGTGGTTTATTACTAAAAAATAAAATCATTTAAAAAATACAGAAAAAGTAGATTTTCATTACTTACACCGTCTAACAGCCTTGAACATGGTGACTGAATAAGGTATGTTCTGATTCGTCAACCACTCTTGAATTTGAACCTTAGTCGAATTACTATTCGGTGTTTTGTGTGCCAATGTGCTATGGTATGAAGCATTGTCCATTACAATTAAAGATGGTTCATGCAGTCTTCGAAGCAATTGTTCTTGGAACCATTTTAAAAAAAAATTCATTATCTATTCATCTCACCGTGATAATCATAATCATTGCTTTTTGAAGCAAATATGGCCTCGGCACCATCAATAAATCCATTTTCGTTTCCAGCATGAAGAATTGTATATCTATAAAAAATATCAATATACAGTTAACATGTATATATTCATTAGTTTTTTTTTTATTAACCTTTTACCATCAACTTTTGTACTTTTTACACTTCTTTTATTGCTGTCTTGCCATGAACGGTTTATGGTACCATTTTGGAAAATCCAAGTCTCATCAATAAAAACAAATTGGTACAAATTTGCTTCCTTTTCTTTGGTATATTTTCTTAAAAATTCTGCCCGTTTCACGGCAATATCTGTAAGTTCCATAAGACCTCGCATTGGTTCATCTTTCTGCCATTTGAAACCTATTTCTAATAATAAGGAATGCAATGATATGCAACATCCATTGAACAACTCCTTCTCATTAAGTTTCCCCAACAAAGAATCTAAACTTACATGCTCCTCTTAAATCATACATTAATTTGTAATTGTTTAATAATAATTTATATACATATACACTTACTACGAGTAGACTCTTACATGCTATAAATAACATCTTGAATAGCACTGGTATTCAGAATTCTTGTGTTGGTAACTTTCTTTTGCCTATGGCGCTTTTTTGGTGGTGACTTTAGAACTTCACTGTTCTTTACAGCTTGTGAAATAGAACTAACAGTGAAAAAATTGAGATTAAGTGCTTCTGCGACACGCTGAAACAAAATAATTATATTAATTTGACGGTGATACATTATTAATCAACTCACTTCTCTTACAGCTGTTAAAGGTAACAAAGGCCCATTATTATCACGTTCTTTCTCAAAATAATTTATTAGAGAATCCACTAGTTCCTTGCAGCGACTATTTAATTGTTTTGGCATTTTTCAATGAAAAAATACACAATAAACGAACACCACTATTAAATTTCTAATAAATTTGATCTGAAAAGAACAGTTTGTTAATAATTTAATCTAAAATACAAATAACTTATTGAAAAGAAATCGATCGATGCAAAATAATACAAAACAAATAACAATTGACAACAATGTATTAAAATTGAAAGCTGACACATTTGATGCCAACTTTTATTATGAAATTCACTAGAAATTATTCCGTTAATAATCTGCCTACTGTGATATGATAAAAAATACATTTTTAATATGCAATTTTATAAAAATGAACTCCATGCGTCTAAATTTATTTATTTATTTGCAAAATAAAATTTAATTATTTTTATTAGTGTGTGTGGTACCAATGACTGTCACTGACGTCATCTCTTACGTGCATCGGTTTTTATATTGAATGCTCTATACCTTAACCTTCTGTTTCCTATTTTCCATATAACGACCCAACCAGTCCAGTGCACAACCCCCCAAACCAATAGCTCTTAATTTCTGTAAATCTAAAAATACCGCCAGTTTAACCAAATTATTTTCAATTGATAACTTCCAGTCCAAGTTGCCTTGCTTTTTGGGAAATATTAATTAAACAACAAAATCAGACTCAAAGAAATAAACGGGGCCCAAATTAAATTAATTTTAATAAAATGCACACGTTCATAACAACATTCATCACATTGACAGTTCTAATTTATACGTCACACGTCGACGTCAAAAAACCAGCAACATCGGCGACCTCTAGGACTGGTGTTAGTTTTATTGGAGAGAGATAAATATATGTAAAGATCAATGTAAAAGAAAAAGAAAGCCATATAGGTAATTTAAATGGACCACCGAACAAATTTTCCTATTAAGTTACATGTTTCTGTTGTCTCTGACCATAGGCACTCTCAGTTAAAATCGAACGCCATATGAATCTTGTAAGGAAGGTAAAATAAAACAAGTCTGTGCATTTTGAGCACTCTGTCGTTGTCCATGGAGCATTAAACTGAATGCTATCATTATGAATAAGGTTGGAGAAAGAAACATCCTTACATTACTAAGTTGATACAGTTTTATCCCCACGTTTATCCTAGTTATAGGAAAAGTTTTGTAGGTAAAAAGCATTTGCAGGTATCGGTTCAATGACCTGCTCATTTTGTTCTTTCATTTACTTTCTACTTTTATTATTAAAACAATTAATACAATATTGCTCGTGAATTGGCGGTGACAAACGGTACTAGACTCTCTAAAAAGAAACAAAAATTTATTTTCTTTGTCTATGTGCTTACAGAATATCATAACATAATTTTATTTTTTTATTTAAATATTAAAGAATAATATAATACGCGCACACTTTTGTAAAATCTCGAAATACTCTCCCATTTATATTTTGTACTATATAGGTTTAAATTGTGATATAATAAATTTTTATTTAAAAAGAAAATGTATATAATTATTTTATTGAATATTATACTTATTACGATAAAATGCAAATGCATGGTTAATCAACGAGTTGTCCATTAGATATTTTTTGAATATATAAGTAGGTATTATTTTTTTAAACTGTAAAATGTACAGGGTGTATCGTAAGTAAATCATATATTTAGCAGCTAAATATATTGAAGTCCAAAAAAAGATAATTAATAACAAAATATTTAATACAGTTAATGAGAATTCTGGTTAGAGTTCGGTTTATCAAAATTAGAAAGACGAATGGAAAATTTGTCGATTATGGTGAAAAATGCAGAAAGAAAATCATCAGGTATAAAAAAAAGATTTAAGTTCCTGGTAAGGATCAAACCCATGCCCTTTGGTGTAGCGTACTAATATCCTAATCACTAGACTCGTCTATAGTTAAGTTAAATTTTCCTTTGATTTATTTTTCGCCTTGACTTTCTTTCTACATTTATCAATCAATTTAATATGTTATTGCCAAATCATATAACCCTTACAGACCTGAGTGTGCAATAATAAGTCAAACACAATATGTTTTATTGTTTTCTATTATCAGAAGTCATAAAAAGTCACTAATTTTTTTTCAGATTTTTCCAACCATTATTTTTACAAAAAAAAACCCGGCTACAATTGTACCTTTTGGGTCTATATCACTTTTCCTCACAATTATGAGTATGTCACAATTGTGTATTGCAGGACTACTAATTAAATAATAGTATTGAATAAAAAAGTTTTTATTAAAGTAAACAAAGGTATCCAATGTAAAATTTATGAAAATGTAATTTAAAATGTAATAATAGTCCTATTGAGACCTATGAAAATTGACAAAACAATTTTTATCCTTAGCTAAACATACGTAAACATTGCACTTGCTACAATATATTCTTGTTCTGCTAGTACAAGATTGTAGTCTGCAACAAGGGGATGCTTTAAGTCATTATTTACTGGCCAATGTTCATATCTATCATAACGTTTGTCAGTACCAGGAAAGGTAGCTGGAATTAATCTTTTCTTCTTATGCTTCTCGTCTCCTGTTTCATTATTTTCTACATCAGTTATTTCCTCAAACTGATTCCTCCACTTTCTTGTGCCCCAATTAAAAACTCGCCAACTGCTATACGAAATGTCAAAAAATCCTTTGAATATTATTTGATTTGCAGTCTTCAACATACTCCATCCAACTAATGTAATATGACTTTAAACGCCCATTTTCGCGTCTTGAAGAAAGTTCTGTAACACTCTATCATTTGATCACAGACATCCACTCCTCCCATCTTTTTATTTTAGGTATAAATGACGTTAGGGCAGCTGACTTCAACAAACTCTTTCAATTTTGTTCCAGCGTTTCACAGTGGTTTCTGGTGTAGTTCCAAAAGAAGTGGACAACATAAGAACCGCCTTGTTATCCATCCACTTTGTCAGTACCATGGGATTATTATCACTTCTAATAACTGACTGCGAATCACCTCTTGCCATTCTTTTATCGGGAATGAAATCGTAGCTTACTTGAAGCCTGTTTTTCATTATAGTACCAGTACCGTGGATTTCTATATGATTTAGCTGAGTTAAAGTACCTATCGAAAAATAGATGACTTTTCTTTGGTAACTTGTGAGCAAAATGTAGAATTACAGCCGGTCCAAGTCCATGGGCTTTGTGTTGAAATGGAGTTGTATTCCCCTGGTAGATTTCAAAATTTAATACAACTCCTTTAGAAGTCGTCAAAACAAAATTTTTGAAGCCAACAGGTCTCGGCTTATTCTTGACATATTGTTTTAACGCACAACGAGACCTAAAAAAGGAATCATTTGCTCGTCAATTGAATAAGTTCCGTTTTGAGATCTCTTGAGTTGCTGGCATCTATTTCTGACATAAGTTATCATAGGCTGTATTTTCCAAAGCCGATTACTTTCTTTGTCCTCTTCTGAAATTCTGTTTTCATCTTCTGTATGAAAGTTAGAACAAAGCAAGAAAAACCGATCTCTAGGTAATGTATCGGCAATGAGAGGCAATCTGAAGTTGGCTGTCCAATACATCCTAAGTCTTGGATATTTTACACAGCCCAAAATAGCATAAATACCGAAGAACTTCTTTACTTCTTAAGACAACAAAGGTTGTAAAGGTTTTCCATTTTTGTTAAAATAGTATTGGCTAGTGCGTAAAGCACCCAGTTCGTAAAATTCATCACCCAAGTACCGCTGAAAATATTGTGCAGGTGACAAAACTTCTTGTGGCTCATTTAAAGTTTCTTCAGGAAGGTCTCTTATTTCAAATAATCCTTCTATCCAAGTCCAATTAGCCTTTGCTTTTTTACCCTTTTTTTGTATGGCAGTATCAGCAAGAGAAGGCGTTTCGTTTACACTGCTGTCTTCTGATTCAGATTCTTTTTCAGAATTTTGAAATTCATCTGTAAAATTTGAGGGTTCCCAATCTTCACCTTCTTCCCCTTCAAACTCCAGATCTGAGTCAATATCGTCCAACATTTCATATAAAGCATCCGGATTAGCCTGAAGCTGCTCTAGATTAAGTCTGCGATTTGAACCTGTAAGAAAAGAAAATTATGTTCATTACTCATATTTGGAACTTTTACTATAGTTAGACCTGAAGTACACAATTGTGATATCAAGGTGTTTCAATAAATTTAGTACAAACATATTTCATGAAACCATTGATGATACAAATAAATACAATCATTTGACAGTAATATACCACAAAGAAATATTTAAAAATATGGTGATAATACTTAAAAAAATATACTTACGTCGCGAAGCCATTTTCGATTATACACAGCTATTATCGATACCCTTTCAACCCAAAACAAAAGCTGACTGACGGTAAACTTGCACTTAAGTACACCTTTCACAAGCGAACGACGCCGGTCTCAATAGCTTCTAAGCATATTCTGAACCTTATGTACCTAAATTATAAGTAAGTCACAATTGTAGCCAGACGGTCTGTAAGAGATATACAAAATTCATTGGTCTTTTTTCTTAGTAATTATCCTTTAACTTTGGACATAAGGCTTTTATCTTTAGTTATCCATCTGTGTTTTCCAAGTGGTACCCCAAAAATAATAACTTAATGACGCCACTACCTTTGCTGCGTCCTCAACATTGGTCTTTCCTTTACTTCAGATAATTTCAATTGAAAATTTGTCGTTTATAGTAAAAAAAAAAATGGGAAGAGAAAATGAGGTATACATTCAAAGAAAAAATATCTGTTTTCGGTGGGGATTGAACCCAAGATATTTGGTATACCGTACCAATAACCAAACCACTAGACTCACCTATAATCTAATTCAATTTTCCTTCGATTTGTTTTTATCCCTTAAATTTCCTTCTGCATTTATCGAGATCATTTAAATACATTGTTGCCAAATTGTATTCACAAAATTTAAACTCTCTAAGTTCGTGCGTTTCGGTCTTCTAATGTTTTGCTTAACGTTCATTTTTGAGCCAAATTTTCGGTCATAGGTTGAATCTCTTCAAACGTATTTGCAGACAAATCTTAAAATCCTATACAATTTAGTTTCCCCTCAATTTATTACAATATAAAATTAAATTCTCTAGATAGTGTAATGTTCATTATCATTCAATTGAGATGGAATAATTGGATGGTCTCCTCTATTTGTATATAAATATCTTGAAAGTAGTGACTCAGATTATTGTTTATTTGACAAAAGTTGAAGCAGTTACGCCACATCCTGTACAGTATGAAAAATTGTTATTTATTATTACTAAGAGAAAAAAAAGATAGTGGGCAACTTTAAATATTAACCCTGCAGATGTTTATTCAAAAGTAAATAAAATGCTATTTATAATCGAATCTGTAACATTGATAGTTCAGTATAAAATGTTAGTTATCTTGTTTTTTAAAGTGTTTTCTATTCCTAATTTAGGCCATTTTTTTATTTCCAACTACTCCAAGAGAATGAAAATGTTGCTCCAAAGTGCTTTAATTTTTTTTTTGAAATAAAATTTAAAAGAAAGAACATTCCCATTGACCAAATAATTATTACCTATAGCACGAAAATATGATATTGGTGATCTCTCGTTGAAAAAATTCGGCAATATTTTTTACGATATTTTTGATATTAAATATTAAAATTTTTATAATGCAAAAATAGCGTTCTGTGTAAATATTAATAAAAGGTGTTAAATGAAAATGTGTTTTATTATCATTTTGATTCTTTATAAACAACACTAAATGATAAGTCATCAAATAATTCAGTATCTTCTGGATTCGTCATACCTTCAATTATCTATCCTAGTAAATTTTCGTCTTTCGAATTACTTCTAAAAACCCGTATAAATGGATGAACTCCCATTTTATTTTCCTACATTGTCGACTAGTTTATGTCCTAAGTAAGTGCTGCTCCCGGTCACGGTTCCCCTGAAGGGCGAATAGGTTCGTCAAAAACATCGACCAATTGTGAAAACGGAGATTGGTTGGAAATCATTTATGTATTCAAACCCTGAAAACCGCAAAATCCTAGCTGATCGGCTTTTGAAGTTACAAGCACAATTATGTAGCCTCGTTTTAACCTTATATGGCTATATAAACAATTTGTGTCTTCCGCTTCTTTACGGTCTCCCGCGGTTCGAAATTTGATTTTTTTCTTTCGCACTCGGGTAAAAATACTTCCAAATAAAACAGTCAAACAGTACTGCAGCGACCCCATCGCAAAATTCTCAAAATACTCGCATAAACAAACCTCGCGATATACATCAACGAAGCAAATGACTCATTAGAAAATAAGACTCAACTAGACACAATATTTACAGATTTTAGCAAGGCCTTTGATAAAGTGGATCATGACGTCTTACTACAAAAGATTTATCGTTTTGGACTATCTGAAAATATTATGAATCTTTTTAAAAGTTATTTACAAAATCGATTTTTTGTAGTAAAACACGATGGAAACACTTCAGGTAAATTTCACGCTTCATCGGGGGTTCCACAGGGATCTAACTTGGGTCCCTTGTTTTTCCTCTTATTTATTAATGATTTGCCAGATGTTATTAGATATTCCAAATGTTTACTTTTTGCTGATGATGTAAAAATATTTAAGTCTATACAAACCGTTAGAGATTGTTCAGCTTTGCAAAAAGATATAAACAGTGTATTTGAATGGAGTGCTCAATGTAAATTAGACTTTAATATTAAAAAATGCAATCGACAAAAGGATCCAATTATTTTTTATTACTGTATGGATAATGAGTCACTAAAACGGGTATATGAATTCAAAGACTTAGGAATTACGTATGACTATAAACTATCTTTTAAAAAACACATTGAAAATGTAGTAAAATCTGCAAATCGCGCTCTTGGATTTACGATACGACAGACGTCTCTTTTTGTCAAAATCGATTCTATAAAATTGATATATGTTACGTTAGTAAGATCTAAACTTGAATATGGCTCTGTAATATGGAATGGAGAATACCAAACCATTTTGCAGGAATTAAAAAGAATACAAAACAAATTTTTAAGATACCTTTACTTTAAAAAATACTTTATTAGACCAGATTATAATAGTGTCAGAACAACACAATTACGAAGTGAATTTAAAATACCTTCTTTTGACTGTAGGAGAAAAATGTTTGCTATACTTTTTTTGTATAAAATCATAAATAACCATATAAATTCCGCAGAAATATTGTCAGTTTTGCCATTTAATGTACCTCCTAGACCTACGCGTTCCGCGATTATGTTTAATATTCCCTTTGTAAGTAGCACTCTTCGATCACCTCTCCTAACCATGCTCCGTTTAGCAAATAATATTACTTGCTTGCACGAAGTAGATTGGCATATGCCTCTAATAACATTCAGACACCTAATTTATAGGTATATTGTGAACTTGTCTGTTTAATTATTTTAGTTTTTCCATTTCTTTTATTATATGATTTGCTTTTTATTTTTTAGAAATTTTTTTTCTCAATATGAGTTTGTGTTTAATCCCCCTATATCTATATATCTATTTATTTAATATGTATATTAATACGTTTTGATCGATTGTGTAAATAATAAATATTGTAAAGTCTATCCTTGTAATTTAGGCCAGTAAGCCTGTTAGGATGGAACAAATAAATAAATAACAACAATACCCCCACGCCCCCAGCGCGAAAAAGGGCAAGTACATACTTGACCACTCGTCTCTCACAAAATTGACGGAATTTTCAGTCTTTCTTGGAATATTGTTAATGGAACATAAAATCAACATCAAGCTGTAATTTAGTGCGACGCGCAACTTTGTGAAACTTGAATGAACAAGACCATTCTGGTGGTAATTTTTCAACTGATTTCTACACCTCTATTAGTTATTAATTGTAGCGAATTTCGTCGATCAGGTTAATTTAATTTTCTTTCTATAAACTAACGTTGACTAAAATGTGTGCTTCTTTATAGTGCAATAATGAGACCAAAAAGTACCCATCAAAGCAATAGAGCCAAAATTTGCGCGCCTTGTGGTAGAAAAATAGTGCTTGGTGTGAAAACGGAGGCACACTTTCGGATAAATGAAAATGTGGAGAAATTAATAAAAAAAAACACCTTACCACCACTTTCAACTTGGCTGATGAGAGATTTCCAACTAGTATTTGTTGGACTTGTAGAATTGATCTTCAAAAGCGGGAAAAAAATATTCAATCGAGACTTCTGGATATGCCAAATTATGAGGACATTCAACTACGCAGGAATACACGCGTCCATAATGGTGAATGTAAATGTTTCATTTGCTTGACAGCAGCTTTTAAAGGTCATGTGCCCAAAAAAAAAGGGCGAGGGCATTTTCGAAGTACACCCAAACAGATACAGACGTCCTGTAAAAAACAGATTACATCACGGCCCCCGCAACCAGAAAACGCGAGCATTTGTAAGAAGTGTTATCAACAAGTGGGTAAGGGAAAAAGATATCCAAGTAATTGCAACAACCAAGTTGACGAGAATATTATACAAATTGTGGCTAAAATACCAGAAAATAAGCAAGACCAGATTATCACGGTCCTTTTGAGACGCAAGCTGGATAGCCAAACCCACGAAAACCCCGGATCGGCACAAAGTAAACATGGTCACGTGGTCTTGAGCACACGTGGATCAAAGGCGAGAGTTCAGCTTAACCCGCGCATTGTCGAGGACATAGTTTTCCCGGAAAAATCATTGGATAATTTTCAACTGCATATGAGCTCATCGCTCAACTAGATGGCAAAATTCACTAATTTTCTGAGAACACACGTTGGACGAAAATCCGTTCCCAGCAATTATCGTGAACATCTTGGTAACAAATCACGAATCTTGGAAGATGTCTATCAAACAGAAAAATTGTATTTTGATTGCGAAAGTGGAGATAAAAAGTCTGAACGGCCCGTCGTCTATGGAAATGCTGAACAATTGTTAGATATAGTTTTAGAAGAGAGGCAGCAAGTGGGCAATGTTAACATTAAAATGATGGCTGATGGCGGGCAGGGTTTTTTTAAAATTTGTATGAGCATAATGGGGGAAGAGGACCAAGAGGACGAAGAGGAACGCGTGATAAAAAAAAGGAAGCTCTATTCTGAAGGTGGTAGCACTTCAACGCAAGCGAAGCTTTCTTCAGTGCATAGGGTGATCCTTTTATGCATTGTGCCTCAAATAAAAGAAACGTATGAGAATATAAAATTATTGTTCGAGATAACCGAGTTGAATAGCATTCCGTTCAAATTTGTGTCCGATTTCAAGGTCCTTCTCCTCGTTAACGGCCAACAAACAGCCACCTCAACTTACACTTGCCCCTATTGCTTTATTTCTCTCCAAGACTTGAGGAGTGGAAAAGATTTGTTTCAAGCCCAAAATCCCGATAATACCATTGAAGCTGATAATTCTAGTGCAATTTCAAGTCTAAAGACCTATAGACATTTGAAACACGATTACATGGATTTCGTTCAGATTGATGGAGGGAAAAAGCAAAATGCAAAAAATCATAACAGTACAATCAACCCTCCACTTTTCAGCGAAGATGACGATATATTTGTACTCCAAAAATGCGTGTTACCAGAGTTGCATATATTGCAGGGTTTTGTAAACCATTTGTTTTGGGATGGGCTTGTTCCTTTGGTGGGTCGTGAAAGCGCACTCATATGGCCAAAAAAATTGAACCTGGTTTCAAAGACCTACCATGGTGAAATTTTTGAGGGCAATGCGTGCAGGAAACTTCTTGAAGAAGCAGATAAATTGTTTGATTTGGAAAGATATGGTAAGGTAGGGATCTTCGCCGTTACTCCATATGTCCAAACATTCAAAGCTATGGATAATCTTATAAAATGTTGTTTTGGTACAACAAAAAGTGGCTCAAACACTTGTCTCCAAAAGTGCATAGAAGAGGTTAGAAAAAAACTACAAAGCATTAGAAAATGTAACAGTTACGCTAAAAATCCATGTACTTTTGGAACACCTCGAGGACTGTATCTGTTTTTTTGAGAATAATGAAACTTTAGGATATTGGTCAGAGCAGGCCGGAGAATCGATCCATCGCGAGTTTCTTTCATTTTGGAATAGGTACAAGATAAACACTATGGAAAATGAGGCATATATGAAGAATTTGCACAAAGCGGTGGCTCAATTCTCCTCAACCCATTTATAGTGAATAATAGGAATCAATAATTCATTTGCAATTTGCTCTTTTATATTCTGTGATAAAGTAATGAGGTTATTTAATTATGTAATTGAAGTCTAGAAATAAATTTTCAACCTTCTAAATGCACGATCTTGAACATTCAAATACTCCAATTCCAGGGAAACTCAGCAACAAAAATTAAAAAAAAGTTCGCATCGGGATTTGAGCCCGGTTCCCGGACTTCGAGTAAGTAAGTAGTATGAAAACTTTGTCCAGCGAGCATTCTCCTGTATGCCCAGAGGGAATTAATCCCTTGAACATGCTTAAAGTGTCGAAACATTCCCGGGCAAGAGCACTGGAACGGTGACGGATGCCTCAAATATAGCCATGAGTCCAATCGTCAAAACGTGGGACCTTAGTTTGATGGTAACTTGAAAAGCCGATCAGCTAGGATTTTGCGGTTTTCAGGATTTTAATACATAAATGATTTCCAACCAATCCCCGTTTTCAGAAATAGTCGAGGTTTTTGACGCACCTATTCGCCCTTCAGGGGAACCGTGCGGT